CTTTTAGGTAGTCCTTGATATGTAACCGTTCTGAAAGCATGAATAACTTTCTCTAAAGGAGCGTTCAAACCCAAGCTTTGGCTGCAGCTGCTGCTCACATCTGCTCACTGCTGAGGTGCTGGGCCTGCCTTTGTGCTGCTGTGTGTTGCATGGGTGTCTTAGATATTGTCAGTGGGCAGAAAATACTCCACTGCTGCTCCTGGACATGCTGAAGCCTTTCCAGCAGCCAGCGTTGCAAACAATGCACCTCAGTTTAAAAGTGCTCCCGGAGAAAAACGTGATGCTTCTGCAGCTGCAGTTGTTGAATATTCAGTTTGTCCTGGATTCCTGTAAGAAGCAAATCCATCTGTGTGTGTAGTGTTCCAGAATATTCCAGCTCACCCTCAGAGTGCTGTGTGGCTCATGCAGAAGCCTGTACTGTGATTGTGTTTGGTAGGAACCTGTATAAATTCCTGCAGGTGCTCGTCATGAGACTCTGTGTGTGTGTGTGTGTCAGCAGCCACCGCCTTGCACGAGGGCCTCAGGTGCTGCAGGACAAGGACGAGGCAGTTTTGTTCCTCCTTGTGTGGCCTGTCCTTTGTTTGCCATGCCATGAGCACACCTGGGTAAGGCCTGGCAGTGGTTGGAGCCCCTGTCCTGCAGCCCAGCCCGTGCTGGGCCAGCGCTGAAGCTCCGGGCTGTGACACGGGGCTGGTGATGACCCCGGGGCAGCTGTGGAGCTGCAGGCTAGGGCTGCTCTGTGCTCAGGGCACGATGCAGCTTGGACATATTTTTTAATACTCTTAGTAGGTAGTCAGGATTCCTTCCTGGTTATTTTCACTCATTGAAATTCCCCTGTGGTAGTGATTCAGGCTTCAGCCAGATTCACAGTCTGAATGGCAGCAGGAGAACTTTGGGGTTTTTTAAATCTCTGTTGTCTCACCCACTCCAGTGACATTATGCTGTGCTGTAGAGAAGGACACTGCTGAGACAGCTTGGGCTGCCATGTGTTTCCAGCTCAGCCTGTTCCCTGCCTGCTGCTCCAGCAGACACGGGGAACTCTGACATTCCAGACAGGGGGACACACTGATTGCCCACTGTTAAACTTTCTGTTGCTGTTGTTAACTTGCATGGTGCTTCCTTAACTTTATTTTCTCTTCTAAGTCATGGCATGCTGAGGGATCAGGCTCCTCCTGGCTGAAGGGATTACGTGTGGGGACAGGGAGAGGGGGAAGGCTGGCTGCATCAAGAGGGATTGTAGAAGAAGGTGTATTTCTTCTTACTCTTGCTTTACTACTTCAGTCTTACCCTTTGAAGACAACTGGCAGTTACTCTAAAAACTATTCATACATGCAAATGTTGAAGGGGGAAAAAAAGCAAGCAGGAATCCTCTTGAATGCTAAGAAATAGTTGAGAGTTGGATAGGATTATAATTTCCAGTGGCCTCTTTTGAACAGCCAGTCTGGCAATTACTTTTATTTATAAAGCTATAAACATATTTTGAACATAAAAGCCAAAAAATACAAACTCAGTGAAGTAAAAAAATTACAACAAATGATGGATAGTCATTGGACAAATGAAAGTACAGCTGCAAAACATTTATCCCTGCTACATACATACAGTGGTTTTACTTGGTTTAATGAAGTGGTACTTCCATGACTTCTACATTCAAACTGATTTCAGGAATTCAAATGTGTATTTCAGGAAGAGTTAAAATTGCTGTAAAATAACTAAAAAAAAAAAAATAATTCTCGTTGAGATAAAAATGTAAGGGCAAAGTTTTCCTTCTATTAAAAAAGAATATTAACACAAAATGGCGACACTTCATAGAGCAGTTCTAAAGACACTTTTTTTGGTATTAATAAGAGTAGCTTTGTTTTGGCATCAGTTATCAGCTGCGGGGCAAGGAGCAGTTGTGCTGTTTTGTCTTGGAAAAGGGGCAGCTTAAAGATATCTCTTCTGTGTTTTGGAATAAAAATCGGTAAATTTTCTGTGAAGTGATTAGAGCACATCCCAAGGGGGTGTTGTTTCTCCCGAGGGTCAGTCTGGCTATAACCTGTATGTAGGGAGAAGCACGGGCAGGCCGGGGCAGAGATGGGTGCGAGTGCTCCAGCTCTGGAAATGCTGCTGTGCCACCAGGGCACGAGGAGGGAATCCTGGACAGGGCACTGGCACTTCAGGAGGAGGTTTTACAGCAATTGGTTGAAATAACGATGATGAGAGGAGGCTGTAGTGCAGATGGTCAGGGCAGGGACCACAACACTGAGGGGGGACCAGAGGAACCTTGAAACAATGGGAGAAAGGCCCCGAGTGTGAAATGAGTGAGGGCTGCTCTGGGTGCTCGCACTGCCTCCTCCTCAGCCACGTTCATACTGGTCAGGGCCTTCCCCTCAGCTTCCCCTGCTCTTAACCCACACACATCTGCGTTTTGCTTTGCTGCTGTCCCACCGTCCATCCCAGCACGCAGTGCCAGTCGGGTGTTGAGTTACACCAGCTGTGCACTTGGGGGGGTACACCCGGCCAGGGCGCTGGGCTGGCATCTCTGCTGTCCCCAGTGGGTGACACTTGGACAGCACCTTGCAGCAGAGGCTCTCACAGCAGCAGATGCTGACCTGAGACATGGCAATTTCTTAAACAACATTTCTTTTTGTTTTTTGTTTTGTTTTGTTTTGTTTTTAAATCAAGTGACTGGAGAGGCCATGCCAGATGTGCAAGAGTCTGCTGAGTTCCTCTGTTCAGCACTGGAACATGCTGTTGGCTAAGCTTGCTAAAATAAGTTAAAACAAGCAGATTGCATATTGATCTAGTGCTGTGTAATTAACCCCGTGAGTGCAGTCAGTACAGGTGGCATTGGGTCAGGAAATGCTACTTCTCCGAGGGTTAAAATGGGTCAGACTTTTAAATGACTCTTTGCAAACTTGTCAGGTTTGTGCACGTAGCTTTCAGTCAGTGCTTCTGAAGTTACATTTACACAGGAGAGGAATAAAGCAATAGGTTTAGATCTTCTAAGCTAAAACCAGAAATAAAAACATCTACACTGCTATAAGCAAAACTACCTAAATAAAGGGAATAAACTCAAAGCTGCTCTACAGACTAATCAGGTTTGGCTTTTCTTAAATTTTTTTTTTATTTATTTTTTTAAATTTTAAATCTTTGAGGCATAAACTTGTTTAAAAAGTTATGTTTAGTCCAATGTAAAAAATTAGGGTTTGTGTTTTTGCGTCAAGAAAAAAAATATAAAAATATTTTGTACATTATAAAGGTTCATCTTAAATTTCTCGCAGTTCTACAATAATATTACTACATAATTTGTATTCAGTACTCCAGAACCTATCTATCAAATAGGAAAAAAATAGACCCCCTCTCCCTCTGTGTGGTGTCATTTTTCTCTTCAGCAGTCTGGAATATTTCTTTTCAAGCAGGAGGAAAATTGCACTGGACTAGATTGTGATCTCTGTGAGAAGTCTGTCAACCTGAAGTAAATCCAGAACTTGGAATTATTTGGGATTTACACCAGTTCAGGGAGATCATAATCCGTCCACAGTGTTTTATGTTTGTCAAACTCAAAGTATAAATACAACACCAGAAACCGGTAAACGCTTTCAGGCTGGAGAGAACAAATCAACATTTCGCGTTGGCAAGGGGGTGGTGGGGGGAGAGTCAGAAAAAGCCAGAATAAGGTGTTTTAAAAAGTTACACACTGAATCATGAGGAACAGGGTTCTGATCTCACCAGGGCACGGCCAGAGGGACGCCTGCAGCCCAGAGCAGGGCAGTGCTGCTCTGCTGGGGCTGGCAGAGCTGAGCTGGGGCAGAGCTGAGCTGGGGCAGAGCTCACACCTCTCCCCAGGGCCTCTGCTCAGGGCCTTGCCCACGGCCCACCCTGCCAGGGCTGCTGGCTCCCTGCCTGCCCCTGCCAGGGCACAGCCAGGGCAAGGCCCACAGAAGCAACACAGGCATTTCTGAGGCTTTGCCCACCTCGCTGGTGGGATTTCTGACCGTCCTCACCTGCAGAGGACAATCCCTAACAGCCAGGGAGACCCTGCACCTGCCCGGTGCCCCAGTGACCATCAGCCCTTCCTGGGCTCAGTCCACGCTCCTTCACTGGCTGGTGCTGCACAGACACATCTGTAAACACCTTCCTGTTCTCAAACAAGACGTGTACAAAATTCACCTGGCTGGTTGGAGCATTTCATTTCTCTGTGACCCGCTCAGATCCGAGCGCTGGCACCGCTACGGTTACGTTTCAGACATGAGGGCTTTTAGAAAAACACTCCTATTCCAGCTTTTCCAGCTCCACGGTGGAACGGCTGTGGGAGATCTGTGAGTGACTACACTTTCAAGCAGCTCAGAGGGCAGGGGGTGGAAGCCAGGGTTAGACGGACAGCACCTACCACCTACAGCAGCAAGCTGGGGACTGGGCTCTGCTCTCCGCCACGCGGGGAGATAATGCAGTAAAAAAACCAAAACAAAACCCAAAACAAAACAAAAAAAAGCAGCACAGGGCAGGGACAAAAGGCTTGTTTACTCATCAGCACTTTAAATTTTGGCAAGTACTTATTTTTGATTTTTTTTTTTTTTTTTTGGAAATTGCTTTTCTACCTTTATCACCCATCCCCTCCAAAAAAAACAAAACCAAAAACAAAAACCAAACCAACCCCAACCGGAGGGGTTTCCCATCCATCATCCTGGAGTCATCCCGCTGCGTGTGTGACGGTGTGCTGGGGGTCGGGCGGGTGCCCGGTCCCCGTTCGGGTGGGCACTATGTGCCCGCGGGGGCGCGGCTGTGCGCGGGGGACGCGGCCGCGGAGCGCCGGGAGCCGGGCCTGGAGGAGCTGGGTCTGGAGGGGCCGGGTTTGGAAGGGCCGGGGCCGGAGGGGCCGGAGTCGGGCGGGAGCTGCGCGGACACCGGGCGGGGGTCGGGCTGGTGGCGGAGCGCGGGGTCGGCGGGGGCTGCGAGCTGCTCTGACGGGAAGGCGGAGGGGAGGCATCGGAGTGCGTCCGGAGGGGATGGAGGCGAGTCTATAGCACTTCCATCGGAAGAAACTGGGCTGGCACAGCGTCCTTCTCCTTGTAGGTACCGAATGCACTTCTTTTTCCTCCTGGAACAGCGCGCAGAGAGGGCTCGGTCAGTGACGGGGGGGAGGCGGCACCGGCAGCTGCAGCGCTGCGGGGACACCGCCAGAGGGCGCCGGCAGAGATCCAAGGGGAAGGGAAAGGGTTCCAAAAAAAAGGGATTCGAAGGGAGGAGGGACCGAGGGAAAGGGTTCGCAGGGAGAGGGTTCGAAGGAAAAGGGGTTCAAAGGGAAAAGGGTTTGGCCCACAGCATGGGGAGAGGAGAAGGAGTAATGAAAGCAGGAGCAAAAATAATAATAAAAAAAAGTAATAAAAATGAAAACAGAAAAAAAGAGAGAAATAATAACCCCCAAAATAATAATAAAATTAAAACTGTAAAATGAAAATAATAAAAGCGGAGCAATATAAAATAATAAGAATATAAATAATAATAATAATACTAAACATGATAAAAATAATAACCCCCCCAAACAATAATTAAAATCAACCCAGGAGGTCACTCCACACCAGCCACCGCCCTGGCTCCTCAGATTCTGGGAGGCTGTGTGGGGTGATCATCTCACGAGTTCAGGACCCCTCGGGGTCACCCTCCCCACAGAGCCCACCAGGGCCCACGGGACACACGTGTGCTGGTGTCACGGGACAGTCACACCGCTGTGGTCAGCAGTGCTGGCTGGGACACTGCTGGGACACTGCCCCTCACACCAGTCCTGGCTTTTCCCATCCCAAAATCTGAAGGTTCCAAGAGCCCATTTCCCAGCACTTTCCTAGACCTGTGCACAGAATCATCTACTCAGAACCACAGACTGGTTTGGGTTGGAAGGGACCTTAAAGCTCATCCTGTTTTAACCCCGTGCCATGGGCAGGGACACTTTCCACTAGACCAGGTTGCTCCAAGCCTTGTCCAACCTGGTCTGAGCTCTCAGCTCTTCTTTTGGCAGCAGGAGCCCCTGCTCTCAGCTATTTGTGCAACATATTTCCCATCTCCAAGAACAACTCAGTGATGCAGCTGAGTGCAAAGTGCTCAACAGAGATCAGGAAGAGGGAAGGAATTGGCCTGGGACTGGCTGGAGATGGTTGAAGGTTGTCTGAGGTGTCGCTGTGGATGCTGGAGCAGTCCAGGTACAAAATGACAGTACACAGACACCAACTGGGGAGACAGATTTGGCAGCAGGACCAGCCTCCCCTCATCCCTCCTGGAGAAGACACTCAGGTTTCCCACTTGTTTGGATGTCATGATTTGGGGGTCTCAAAAATACCAGTCACTCCCCACTTTTGCTGTAGCTGGTTTGGCACACGATTCCTCCAGATCCCTGGACAGTTCTGTTCAGTATTTACCCTGAACTCCAGGTGTCATCTCATGCACCTGATTGTTTTAACTGCCCCTGGCTGTCCAGAGTCAGTCAGTCCCTCCCACTGTTTTGTTTTTACACACTCTGTTGAGCTGCTTTTCCTTCTCTCCATGTGACAGATCCCTCAAGTCACTTGCTGTGGGTCCTTGAGCACCTCAAACAGAAGAGCCCTTAACAGTAGCAAGGGGACAATTCCTCTGCTGGAGATGGCATTAATGACTTCACTGCTAAAACAGGTGGAGGAACAGCTTCCTCCCACCCAGCTCCCTGCCTCGGCTGCCTCATTTGAGGAAAACAGATGAAATGAGACCTCGCTAATGCGGGCACACACCTTTCTTTGATCTTCCTAATGAAAAACCAGACAGGGTGAGAAGGTGCATTAGCAAGGCCGGTATGAAACACGACCTGCACTGGATGTGAACAGGAGCAGTGCTGTCACTGCTGTCACTGCTGTCAGTGCCACCGTCAGCCGTGCTGACCCAGCTGATGCGACAGAAAACACGACAGGAGAGGTTTCACAGGGTGAAAGCTCCAAAGCAGCAACGTGAGTCTTAACCAGGTAACCTCTCCTGTGGATGGAAATCCTCCTGGGAAGTTGTTCTCTGCAGGTGACCAGAGCAGGCAGCACAGGAGTGTTAGTGCAGGAATTGCAGAGCAGCTCTGGCTGACCAGGGTTTGGTTACACAGGGGACACGGGAAGAGCATGCCAAGGTCTCTGAGCACTCCAGCAGCCTGTGTTAATTGGGAAGCCGTGCAGAGGAGAAGCTGAATTCAGAGTTGGAGTGGAGGCAGAACAAAGGTGGAAGAACTGCCCACAGAGGCACAGGGCACCCAACCCGGCTGTGGGAGGGATGGGGCCTCCAACAGCCCCCTCTGGACACTCAGGTATTACTGACACACTAAGGGAGCTCTGTCCAGATTCTTAGTCATTAAAAAACGGTGCTTGGTGACACCACCTGGGGTGTAAAAGGTGAACAGGGAGCTCTTGTGGCACCCCAAGGTGCAGGAGGGGAGCTCAGCTGGGGCTCAGCCACAGGGACCAGAGCTCGGGGTGCAGCAAGTCTGGGCCACATTTGGGTGCACTGAATGATTTTAATCACTTCAAGCTGCAGTAATCAAGCAATACTTTACTTCCCCGCTTCTCCTACAGTCCTTAACACATTGCTGTGAAAATGTGCTCGAATCACAGACCTCTGTCCGGGCTGGGGCCTCCCTGTGCCCCAGTGCCCAGGCCCAGAAGCCCCCATGGAGCTTTTTCTGCCTGGCTGCCTTTGCAGCCCCCCTGAGCCAGGCAGCACTTGGTTGATGCACTGAATTTTCCTATCTCCTGGCCATGTCCCTTCCCTGGAAGCCTGAGGGGCAGGGCACTGCACTGCTTTGCTGCTCGAGGCTGTCCCACCCCACCCGTGGTGGGTGCTGTGAAATTTAAGGGTCAGGAAGAGCTGGATCCTGAAATACATGGTTAGCCCAGTATAAATGGGAAAAAGAAACTCACTAACTCCTCACTGCTGGCCCTAGGGTGCTGTTTATGTGATTGGAAATCGCTAACAGGGGGGGAAAAAAGCCTCACAGCAGGGTCACAGAGGTCTCCACCCTGGAAATCAGCTTTTAAGACCAGGGAATTCCATCAGCTGAGGAATATGTACGGCGGCGTTACACCAACCCTGCCCCGGGGTGTGAGAAACCCAGCGTGCAGCCTGACCCTCCAGCTCGGGCAGCAGCTCCGGGGGATGCCCGGGGCACCCCCATCCCCGCGGGCACCGGGAGGGCACTGCAGCTGCTCCCGCTGTCCCCGCAGCGCCCCAGCAGCGAGGAGATGCCAATACACACCTGCACGGGCCGCACCAGTCCGTTTGTTGGTTGAGGCCAAAGCGAGCTCTGCATTTCTTAGGAGAGGCAGGATCTGAACACAGAAGCATGCGCGGCGAGAGTGGGCAAGGCAGAGGCACAAAGAGGAGGAGGAGCAGGAGGAAGAAAAGAGGCAACATCATTTTAGCCACTTGAACACACGACTACAATCCCAATTTTTTTTTTTTTTTTTTTTTTTCCTGCTG